TTTCAACTGATACGGCAATTCCAAAACTGATGAGTATCAACAGAAGCTCCACCATCGCCTCGTAAGACTTGTTTGCTTCTTTGACCCTTTCTTCTTCCCTTTCAGACAATCCTTGCAAACCATCAGGGTAAGATTCACTCCGCAAAGGTCTGGGCGGGTTGGCAACTCCTTGGACTCGCCTTTCCCTGGCTTTCGATGCAGTGCCGCAGCTGGGGGCAAAATGCGCCCAGCATATGTTGTCACGCTCTGTCTCAGCAAACTTGCAAACTGTCTGAAAATCATGTGGCTTTGTCAAATCAAACGCTGCAACTGGAAAATTCTCAGCTCTCTTAGGGTCCTTGTCAATGGCCAGGACTCTGAGGCCAAGTTCTTTGCACGCTTTACTGAATCGACAAGAACCTGCAAAAACTTCTAGAACCAAGCCCGAGCCTTTTCTCGGAACACCGTCCCAGTCAAACTGCTCATCGGGAGATCCACTGTTAGCATTCGCTGAATTCGGAAAAATTTCACAAGCATCACTTGAAGAGGAAAAGAACTGTTCACATGCAACTTCACACTCTCCAGGCCGAGGGTGCTGCTTGCCTGCATCAACTTCGTGATTGGCGGCAACATGACCTGGAGTAACCTCCTGTCAACTTGTTTTGCATCTGGCTGCACCATGTCCTGTCTTCAAGCATTTCATGCAATCATGCATTCCAAACCGGCAACGCCCAGCTTTGACAGGATTGTTACAACCTTTGCCCATGTTGAAGTGCCAGCATAACGGTTTGCCAGCGTCTGTTCGTTTGTGCAGCCCCGCAAGTTCTTCAGGCATCTGAGGTGCCGGCTTTTCGCCTGGCTTGATTCTTTTGGAGGGCTTTCGAGGACCTGGGTTTGGTTTCCCGGCATCATTCTCCAGGGGTCTCTTCGGCGGCGCGGAGGTCAACTTCGGCATCGCTATCAGATGGACGTTGATGCGTGGGTCATGCATCAGCTTCTCAAAGATCTCATCCAATGGTGGCCTCGCTCCAAGCACCGCTGTCAACGAACCCTTGAACTCTGACGCCAAAATTGAAAACATTTCACGGTCTGCTTTCATAACCTGCGTGATCGTGATGGCATTGAAGCTTGTAGGCGCATCTGAAACGAGTGTTGACATCAATTTGTCAAGCCATTTCTGACACACCGTCCATGACAGAAAGCCCACCAGGTCAAACGCCAAATGCCTTCTTTGCAGAGCAAAATACAATTTGAGTTCTGTGCTGGTGTCTAAGTCCTGTAAATCAGACACCACAGTTTGCTTGAGCGCTCCCTGTTCCAGCGTGATCATGGTTTTTGATTTGCTTTTGGATTCCGTTTGCACCTCATTTTCCCTGGAGTGACACTTGCTGGGATGCACGTACACAATGTTGCCACTTTCAACAATGTTGTACACAGTGTCAATGAGTGAGTGCGACGGCTGCTGCTCAGGTGTGTGAGGAAGGCCTGGCAATTTCTTTCTTTGCGCATCAAGTCGACTCTGCTTCTCCACAAAAGGTAGCTTCCGAATGGGTTGTGATGCGTCCGCACATTCTGATTGCGTTTTCATCTCTGCCATGAGTAAGGTGCATGACTCAAAGTGCAATCTGCGGAGAACTGCAGTTGTGCCAAGCGTCGACTGAGTTTCGAACACTGAATCGGCCAACTGAGTGAGTTCCGTCTCCACAACCTGGTTTTGTGGGCTCCCCAACGAAAAAGCGAGAGTGGAAAAACTGCCAATGTTTTGTCCCTTCAGCTTCTCAAAAAGACCTTCGTGCAGCTCGTCGCACCTCTTCTGGAAGGCGCGTTCAGAATCTATGAGTGACATGGCTGGATCGAGTTCCTACAAACAGCGGAAAATTATTTGTGACGTGACTAAAGTCATGGCATCGAAACATCATGCTGATTGGCCCAGAGTGTTCCCTTTCGGGAGTAATAACAAAACGTTTGTGTTTTATTTTGACTGGAGCCCAAAGTCCGTCGTTTCAGCTGCCTGGACTGTAAGTCTCAGTAGGATACCGCATCATGTTTGCAGGCGTTTCTGGATAGGTGTCGTGCTTCCCATCCCTTCCGCTTGGATTTCTCCTTGGATATCAAGAGATTACATGTTGATCTCAATCACTAAAAGTGTCAACAACGAACCACCATGTTTGGTTGCTGTTATTTAGATCGACACAACTGATTCGGGAAGATTGCTGTTTGGAGGCTGCTTGATACCTTTTTGCCCTAACGCAATCTGGATCCCAAAGGTGTGTTTGCTGCCCGCCAACAGTGGCTGCAACAGGGTGTGTCCCACCTCAATGAAGCAGGCGGCTTATAAAGGCTTCCATTGGCCATCTGAACTTTCCTTCCACACATCAAGTATCTGGTGTGCTCCTCCTGGATTAAGTGAAGCATTCTTGATTTTGGGTGTTGCAACAAGCTTGTGCCCTCTGGAGGTCTCGGAGCGCTGACCATTCTGGCTGCATGGGTGCCCGCGACATGTTCCTCTTCTGAGTCTGAAGAGGTGTCGCTTCCCGAGCCCGGTTCAGCTCCTGCTTCCTCATCCAAGGCGACTTGGTTGTCACTGACAAGCTCAAAACCAGCGTCGTCCTCTATGACAACTTCTTCCTGCTTCACCTCGGTGATCATCATTCCAGATCTCGACGCATTGGGGTCAAAATGACCGCTTCTGATCTTCTGTAGCATATCATCCAGTACCCTCAACGGCGCGGCCAAGGCATCTCTGGAGTAAGTCAGAACCGATTTCATACGGCCTGTGTGGCCTCCCAATATCTCCCTGTCAGGTATGGAAGCTCCATACTTTGCCAGGAAGCTCAACAACGTTGCTTTGCAGGAATGGCTCGTGATTTTTGCTTCATCATGCAATAAGCCGTGTCGGTCTAAAATCATTCTGGCCCATTTCCCAAGCTCGGAGGTGCTAAGAGGTCTGACGGTGGGATCACCCTCCCCATTCGGAGCAGGCATCAGGGGGTAGCCCTCACTCAAAGCTGCATGGAGCTCCTGTCTGAGGCCCCACCATGTTGCGACCCAATTTCCTTGCACTGCACCACACCCGATGCAGGACCAACTGCCGCCATGGTTCCACCACGCCAAGCATTGGCCTTCTTGGTCTTGAACTCTTTGATCTTGAGCTCCACAAAGATCGGCGCCAGCTCGTTCGGGTCCAGCACTATCTCGTCAGTGTGTTGCATGTCCATCCATCTAGACCTGGTATAAACAGCCATCAAAGTTGATCCACTCACCAATCTGTCCCAGAAGAGGGCCTGATCATCGTGGAGAACCTGGTGCAAGCAACTCAGCTGAGACACGGTGAGCGGGTCAGACTGTCTGACGACTGTTTCGCCTGACCGCCTTGAGGCTCCCAGGCATCTTCTGGACAAAAGCTTTTGGCTTAAGCCTTCTATGCCAAAAACAAACTCCGTGAACCTGATCGACTCCACAAGTGACCTGAGCCGGCTGAGTGAAAAACCAGCCGTCCTCATCTCACAAAAATAGTTGTATAAAAAGGCTTCATCACCTGGAACTGCAACCTTAGCGACCCTGAGTTTTTCGATGTACCTGAGCATCGCATTTGCACGCTTTGTCAATGTTGCAGGTGCTTTGCCAGCCAGGATGTCTCTCAGCATGCGGAGTTGTTCAGGAAGCCCGGCAACCAAATACAGCTGCTTCACAGTCTCATGAATGTCAGGAAATTGTGAGATGATGTCAAACCACCTTTTCAAAGCAACGTCCATCTTTGCCTCTTGGTCTTCCTTCCAAGAGACTGCGTCTGTATTGGACACCACTTGCCTCCAATGCTCTGCAACTCGATTCCTTTTGAGAAATTTCACTGGTCTGTCAGGTAAATCCAGTGGTGGAACTGCAGGTGGAATCAATCGTTTCCATTGGTTAATCGGCCGCTCTGGAAAACCAAACTGTTTGTTGCCGAAAATGCTACTCCAAATTCCTCTTTCCCAAGGCATTCTGAAGTCGTTGCTGGGTTCCAGGCTGCGCCAAGATCTCTCCAGTATGTCTGGAGTCAAAAATTCAACTGCAAGTTCCTCCAAGTCATGCTCTGCATCACCCGGCAATACCCCATAGAAACTTTGTGATGTAGAAGACCCCATATCACGTATTGTGTTGATGAAAATAACACTCGTGGTGAGGCTGTCGACGTGGGTTCAAAACTGAAGGATTTGCAGGTCCGACCAAGCGTCTCTGCAGCTCTGCGCTAACCAATTGAAGCAACGAAAGTAAATCACTGAGGCTAAGTGCAAATAAATCTCGATCGGAAATCATATGCCAGTTGTTTCGACGTTCAATTCCCAGAAAATCCACACGAATGCTGCAATGATGCCCAGGAAAAAACTGATAAGCAACTGACAGCAAGACCAAGATGAAGGTTGCAACTTAGACTCCTCTAGTGCTGAGCGCCCTTTGTCACACACAGTGGCGGCGCGGAAGCGAGCTACCATGCACAGTGCTCGAAAATTCCCTTTATAAAAAAGGGGTCCCTCCCTCCCACCACTTGATGGGAAATGCAACAGTAGAAACATCAATAACAACGTGACCACCACTGATGTGTGTTTCAGTGTTGATTGTTTGTTTCGAAAACAAACACGGTCAGAGTTATTTGTTGTTAAAGGTGATTGTAACAACAACTTTCAGTGGTTGTTTGCAGAAAGATTCTTTCACCACCAAGACGGTTTAAAGTCAAGGACCTTATTTGTGATACCTCACAATTTTTTCTGAGGAATAATGCTTTCATCTTTTTTCAAAAGAGTGACACCATAAAGGTCAGCACGGTCTGGACTCAACCAAGAAAACTCACGAGCCACAAACCTGGAGCGGCGCAAGTAGTACTGCACGCCTGTTGTTTCATCACGTTTGCTCCTCCATGTCCAGACAAACCTGGTTGAAAGTTCGACATGATCACTGCAGTCCACGTTTGATGAATCCAGCAAAACACCCATTGCAGCCACGCAGGAAAGTTCCACCTTGTCGGCTATCTGGTCCAAACGTCACAGCTCCTCTGGGCTGAGGTCAGGTTCATCCTCTGTGTAAGGATATTTCAACTGCTCAATGGCTGCTGCTGTGTCGAAAGTCATGGACTGATTTTGGTCTCCTGGTTCATCCACATCAAGGCCATGAAGTGCCTTGTCATACTCCTCCAAGCCGTCCAACTCTGCATCCTGAAAGTATGTGGGATTGTGTGCATCCTCATGAGTATACTCTGTGCCATCGATCACACAACGCACATGAGAAACTTGGGTAAGCTTTGCAGTCTTTGTAGGCCTCTCTGAAAGTTCACCCTCAGCTCGACGAGGGGCACGGGCTTGCCCCGCCTGCGCTTGAGTCCCATCGCCTGCAAGCTTGAGATTCCAGCACTTGGAGAACCTTCGAATTGATCTGGTCACAAAGACACCTTGTGCTGTGCCAATCATATGAGTATCACTTGTTGGGGATTTACCAAGCCATATGCCATTGATCCACCTGGGGTTCGACTTGGCCTCACTTTTCAAGTATCCCATCATGCACTCACCAAACTTCGCAAGTTTGCCTGTGTATTGACGATCACAGGTTTTCTCAAATGCCGTGAATCGTTCGAAATCATGAACCTGTTGCGCAACCATGATGCATGAAGCATGGACCAAGCAAACATTGGGTGATGTGAACCTAACCAAATAGAAATTCCTCAGAACCTCCACCAATCTCCAGCTGTCTCAAAAGCAAAGCGGCTTGTTGCCTGATCACTTGCACAGTCACTTCAGCAGCTCCATTTGCTTGATGGTCATGTGGTGCTGAAGTCTCCACATTGGTATTCACATTCACTGCTCTCAGAGCCTTGCTCACTGTATCCAAGAGTGCTAAGGTCGAAGGCTCGTTGTCACATCTCAAAGTCATGGGGTTGTGGCCTGTCGAAACCACAAACCGTGCAAGCTCTGTGCCAAGGTAAGGCATGTACTTCCCGCCTTTGGCTGGAGTTGGAATCCCAATCATGGCACCTGTGAACCTGTCATGGGCAAACAACACTGTGAGTTTGTCTTGATCACCTCCACGTGAAGCATACCCAAAATCAAATGAAACAACGCTGTTGAAGGAAGTTGCATGATCTCTTGAAGGATGTCTGTCTTGACGAGCTTTGAAAGAAACACAAAGAGGACACCAATCTTTGTATGGAATGTGCACCAAGTCATGAATGTCTTTCTCAGCCTGTGATGGTTCTGGGGACACACGCTGTTGCTCTGGTGTTCTCTCTGCTTCCACCTGCAAGCGTTGACCAACTGCTTCAGCATCAATGAGTTCACGTTCTCTGACATGACGCAAGATGCGCTTCAAACATTGTGCTTTGTTGCCTGTCTGGCTCAATCCAAGAAAACTGCATGCTGCTCTCAAAGCTCTCAACGACGAAGTCTCGTTCAGCAAGACGCCATCCACAAAGGTTTCTAATGGTACTACACGTTCTTCAGGTGGCAACTCAGCTCTTGCATCTGCTGGGGCTGCAGCTTCTGCTGCATCTGCAAGTCCAAAATCTCCTGAACCTCTGGCAGGTTCAGATGGAACTGCATGAAGGGCTTCAAGCCTAAAACCCAATGCCTCTGGTGACATCACATTGGTATGGCCCAAAGTCAAACTGGCTTCTGCCTGAACATCGGTATCAAACCACTTGCATCGATCTTCCATGGTTGAAATCTGCTCACTGAGTTCAACAAGTTCCCAACTGCCGTTCACCTTCAACAAGGTTGTGCGCCTCCACATCAACTGATCTGCAGGGATGAGTGTTGTGTCAACAAATCGACCACCATAGCTAAGCATGGCCCAAAGCTCAGGGCCAATCTGCTCCCAACGCCTGCCAACATTCTGCAGACGCTCTGTCAAGATCACCGCACGCAAGACATTGACATCTTGCTGATCACCATCACTGCCAGATACCTGCCTGTTGTCAGGGCGCTCACATGATGTGGCATCTTTCGAAACCTGAGGATTCAAACCAGTTGCAGAAACGTTCAAACCAGTTGTAGAAAAATTCAAACCAGTTGTAGAAGTATTCGAACCAGTCGTAGAAGCATCAGAAATGACACGTATGAAACCCTTGGCAACAAGTGAATTGCATCTGAAACCAATGTCAATCTTCTCACTGCCTTTCACAAGACAAAACGAACCATCATTGCAAATAGACCATCCAGCCCTGAAGAACCGACCCAAGCTAAGCAGAGGTGTGGTGACGTTCCCAATCAGGAATTTCTCCTTGAAACGCACTCCACCCATTGTGATCTCTGCCAATCGAATGTCATGGATTTTGATTGGAGCACCTTGTGCATCAACATATGAAGATTCCTGCTGTGAAAGAACTGATGTGCCAACATGTGCATAACTCATTGGAAGGACACTTGCATCAGCACCTGAATCCAAAATGATGTCCACTGGGTCGCCTGCAAAATGAAACGCTCGCACTGAAAAAACGTTCAAATCACAGTCAAAATCGTGGTCAAAATAAGGTTCAAGTTGTTGACAAATAGATGGTTGAAAAGTTGTTGATTGAAAGGTTGTTGTCAAGTCCATGCATATGATGTCAAAAGGTTCAACTGTCCAATCATCATCTGAATCCATGTCGTCCATGTGAAAAACTGCAGCGGTTGGCGTGTATGCACTCGAAAACGGCGCTCGGTCATCCAAATGTGAAACAACATGAATACCAGAAAATGAAGTTCCATCGCAATCATCATCAAACGCAGTAAGGTCATGAAGTGGAGAGTTGTCAACCTCCTCAATGGTCACACTGCTACGCTGAAAACATTCACTGAGTTCTGCTGCTGCTTGGAGTTGTTCACATAGGTTGTTGAACTGCTAGCTGCAGGAGTCTGAGAGTTGTTGTTGTCCTCCTCGACTCGCCTCGACAACACGCACTTTTCCATGGCCCTTGTCACGCTTGTACTTGTGGCAGTCGCGTTTCCAGTGGCCAATCTTGCCGCAGTAGCTGCAAACATTTTCTGAAACACGGGAACTGGTTCCCTTACCTTTTGAGTTCTTGCCATCCCCTTTAGATCCTTTGGATTCGGGAAAACTGTACTTGCCCTTGCCTTTTCCTTTGGATTTCCCTTTGGAATCAAACTTACTTTTGGACTTACCCTTGCCTTTCCTCCATTGAACTTGATCGATCTCCATAGGCGCAGGTCCGCCTGAATTGGCAGGTTTGTCACTGATGCCAAGCTGTGTGTGGATCTGGTTGGACGTCCACGTTGAAGAAATGGCCTCATAAGACAGCACCTGTGGAAGAACACTTGAATAGGTCGATGCATCATTCATCGAAAGTCTGATATGCTGCTGAACTGTTTTCGGCAGACATTTCACCAAAACACTCAAAACAAGGTCATCTGGAACATCTTGTCCACTAGATTTCCTGTACTCTTCTCTCAAGCGCTCAAGTCCTTGAATCTGCTCCAAGAACGTTCTGCCAGAAGCGAATGCAGGAAGGCTCATAAATGCAGAAAGAAGGGAAACTGCTCTAGACTTTGTATGAGGTGAATACAACTGCATCAACCGTCGACAAACTTCAAAACCATGGCGTTCAGAAACCTGTCGAAGAATTCTGAGAGGTTTGTGTTTAAGAAGTCCACTCAAAATCGAATAGAGTTTGTTTGATTTCACCAGCACATCTGTTGAAACTCCAATCAAATTGACAACAGTCTTAGGGTCCTTCTCAACTGCATCTAAACACTTCTCGCACTCCGCATCTGCAAAATACAACCAACTTTTAAAGTTCAAAACGAAATCAGGCCAAATTGCAAGCTCCTGATCAAACGCATCGTTGCCAGCACTCCCAAACGGGTCCGGCTGTCTGACAAGCTTCTGTAAAACTACCAGATCTGTTGCTCTAACCATCACTGATCTTCTTCATCTTATTGGCCGCCTGGCTGGCAGCATCTGCAGCTAGTGCTGCAGCCTCGATCAAACCTTGAATCTGTTCAGCGCTCAATTGCGCCATTGCCACACCTGTATCCAAGTTGCAAGTGCACCAGAAAAACCAGAAAGCAACCCCCAAAATATCAGTCAGAAGTCCAGCAGCAAATGAAGGAAATCACTATGGCTCTCCCAAAGGTCCAAACTGAGCTTGGGCAACCCTTCTACCCAGATCACGGGCCTCCACAACCATGCAAACTTTTCCTGGGCAAGAAACACCTCTGCATCCACGCAACATTTATTGCATGCCATCCATGCCATTCTATGGAAAACGCAAAACGGTTCGTTTTGGTTTGAAACGGTTTGTCACGCTGTTAAGAACAGATACTACAGAGCTGTAAGTGTACATCCATGCTTTGTACGTGGGTCGCAAACATGCTTTACATGTAATCAAATATTTCCAAAGATTGAACCGCTTGCAAAACATACGCGCTTCGCCGTCGCAACTCAACTCTTTTTCCACAAAAGCTACCAACTACCTCGGAGCACTTTTGGATGTTGAGATGTCGAAAAAGTGTGCGGCGTTGTGGCGCGAAGCACATTTGGACGTAAAAAGTGTTAAAAACTGTCGGTCTGGGAGCACTTTCAGAAGTTGAGATGTCGAAAACACGGCGTTGTGGCGCGAAGCACATTTCGAGTCAAAAGTGTGAAAAACTCAGATCTCGGTTGGACGTTCAGACGTCGTTTTGTGTGGCAGGTGGAGTGGATTGCGACTAAAACGTGAAGTTTTGCAGCATTTTCAAAACGATGGCAGGGCGTGGGAGATTGAAGAGGATCTGCACAAATGCATTTTTTGTGGCAGGCACAGTTCAAGAGGCATCTTCAGCAGAGATGTTCGGAGCTCAAGGAGCTGATTTCGGACGGACAAGCATGGATGAACCGATAGAGATAGAGAAATAGAACGAAGAACATGGTGATGGATAGTTGTGGACATGGATCGATGAAGAGATGGACGGGAAAAAAAACTGACGGAGAGAAGTAAGTGGATTTTTTTTGTCCGAGCCCGTTGCCTTTCGGCGAGTCTACGGTCTTCAGTCTTACTCGCGGACCAGCGGGGAATCGAACCACCACCGGCAGTCTGTCAGCGACGCAAGAGTGCCGCGATACCAACTGCACCACGAGGACGACTCGGAGAGAAGTAAGTGGATGGATGAATGGCTGGAAAGCCAGCGAGATAGACCGTTTAATAGATAGGTGATCAACAAGTCAATTGATAGATAAATGAATAGACAGGTAGATGGGTAGATGGCTACAAAGATGGCTCTGTGGATAGATGGCAAAAGAGATACAGAGAGAAAGAGAGAAAGAGAGACAGAAAACCTGTGGGAGTTGACTTGGTCTGACGCAAAACTGGCAGAGCGAACTCACTGATGGATTGAAAGGTAGTTGAGTGTTTCTCCCTTTCCATTTTTGAAACTTCCGCCATCGCCTTTCTACTGGTAAACTTGCCCAACTGAGCAACTAGAATGTTGGCTTGGCCCAGGAACAAAGTTCTCAAACCACGAGAGTCTGCCACGCCAATCGTTCCACTAGGTTAAAAAAATTCATCTTCAATCTTGTATGCCCTCAAGATTTTTGGGTGTTGTTTTGTTTCTCGTTTCCTTTTTGGTTTGTTCTTTGTTTTCGCCCTGTTGCTTTTTGTTTGGCACGGTCAGCTCATTGGATTATGTACCGGTCCTACGGTGGGTGGAAGAAATCCTGCACCACCTCTATACCATCACATTTGCGAATGCATAACTTGTACCCCCGTACCCCCAAGTTCAATGTTGAATGACATGTTGACAGGTGGTGCAGGATTTCCGTCAATCGCACGAATCCATTTTGATCACTCCGTCTTCAAACAATATTAAATTAGGAGCGCGAGGTTTTAACTGTGGGTCTTTGAAAGTGGTGCAGGATTTCTTCCATCAACAGTACTAAAATTACATGTGCCTAGTTGAAGAAGTGCAAAGAGGTAGCCGGCAGAAGCTGCAGGATCTTTTGACCATTTGCGTTAGCTTGTCAGATCATTAGTCTTTGAATTAAAGTTCAGGGGGCCTGGTGCATTTAGGTTTGACCATATTGCAGCACAAGCTGGCCGAAGCAGCGCTGGCATTCCGGAATACGGTTGCCGGACTGACGCACTGGCAAGGGACGATGAAAGCTGTGCACTTTCAATCGTCGGAGCAACATTGTGTGCTCAGATGGATGCCCTCGAAGGAATGCGATGTGGGCTTTCTCCTGCAAAGGTCCCAGATCCTTCTCTTTGCAGGTGACAAAAATGGGGGCTGACCCTTGGTACAAGATGTGTCCGGTGTAGTTCGCACTGTTCTGTGGCCGGCTCAATGGGAATGGCTTTCCTTCATACCACAGCAACTGGGTCGGAAGTGGCAGGAGCTCAGCATCAAAGGACCAATCGTCCAGAAGGACGACCTTCTTCCTCTCCAAACCCAGAAAAGGAAAGTTCCCGGGCTGTGGGGTAGCTTGCACATGCTCAACCCCGTAGACGGAGCGCAGGGGGCTCAGCCAGAAGGACTTGCCTTCGCCGCCAAAGCGGCCCATGAGGACTGAGACTGGCACATCCTCACGGCGCCCATTGGCTAGCAGGCAATATATGTCCTGGCAGAATGCAGCAGGATCAATGCCATTGAGCATCAAGGAATGCATGGCCGTCTGCATCCATTGCCCATGGCACACACAAGCTGTCCCCGCAGCCGCCTTCAAGGTATCCAATCGGCTTCGGGCATGCAAGGCAAGGAAGTCATCGACAGTCTCCCAAGACCAAACATCATCAATGAGGCTAGAGAGCTTGACTCTGTTCTTGAAAGCAAAAAAAGGAGTTGAAAACAAAAAAATGGAAATCCCCCCCCCCCTCCGTCGAGCCCCCCTACCGTCCCCCTGCTTCCCCCCTCCCCGCTTTGACTGGCCTCCCGCCCGGGCCCAGTCTGGACCACGGCCCCCGAGCCCCAACATCCCCCACCGACCCGCCCCGACGGCCTGGGCCAAACTCCACAATTGGGCCGACGCCCCCAACCTTGCGGTATCCGTTTTACACCCGACCCCTCCCCCCCCCCCCCTCCTCCCCTCCCCGCGCAAAGCAAAAGCCTGAAGAGCTGGAGAACCATGAGCTTTCAAGTAGGACACCAGCTTCTCTGCTGCATTGCAATCATCTGGCCCATTGCGGAAACCGTGGCGAACGATGATGGGATACAGGTCAAGCTCCGTGGCGCGAGGTTCGGCCTTGCCACTACTGCGGGCCTGTTTCACCTTGGCTTCCCTGGACCTGGCCAATGCAGCAGCTGTCAAAGGCTCTTGCGACAATGCAAACAAGTCCATGGGCTCTCCGGAGACATGCCAGAAAAGTGGCTCAGGATCCAAAACTTCCTGAGGCTTGTCTGGGGAAGGGATGTAACCATACCGAATTGCTGACCAGAGGCCAGTATGGGTGCTGCTCCAATGAGACGCCACGCCATGGTTCACAGCCAGGGCCCTTTTGAAAGGAGCAAACCGGAAGCATGAAGAGGCTTTCAAAGCAATGTGCCAATGGAAGGGCCCCACTGCCTCTCCGGCTCTGGGCGCATGGCGTTCACGAAAGACGACCATGCATTCCAGCTCCGTTGCTTTCCTGCCCCACCCAGCATTGTTCCTGGTATGCGCTGGTCTGCGGAAGGCATCCACCAGCACAGCTGCCACGTCTTGGTGCTTCCACGTGGAAGGGCAAACCAATGACCTGGAGTCCCCTGACTGCCGCTGCAACGCGGGCAAAGTCACCAGGTAGACTCTTTTCACGCTGGTGGCAACTTCTTCTGGCAAGCTGTGCTCATCTTGAGCAACTGGGAGAGGGGGGGAAGCGGAAGTGCTGGATCAGATCCATCAGGCACAAACTCGAAGCCCAACCATGTCTTCCGCCGCACGCGACGGTCTGGAACGCACAGCTCAAAGGGCATGGCTGCAAAAAGGACAGATGTGGAACTACGAGCCAGCAGCTCGGCATTCCAAGACCATACGCTTGTAGGAACTTGTAGGAACTCCCCTGGAGAAGCCCCGGCCACACCGGCACCACGACACTGCACCGGCGCGCCTCAGCGACCCCATGTCGTAGAGGACCCTTGCGCATAGCCCAAGAAGGCCGCAAAAGCCTGGGCAGGAGCGGGGCTGCACAATGCTGTCAGTATCTAATTTAGAATGAGGGAAGTAAGGAAGGAAGTATCAAGATGTTTCTTTACCCTCCTGAACCAGTAGGACACTCCGAGTGTGCGAAACATGCCTGACGCATTTTTTGCTAGAGAATGCCTGCACCATGATAGTTGGCTGTACATTTATAACCCCCCTGGAAATGCATCGGGCACCAGAACCCCACCATGCGCCAGGACGCCTCAACAAAGCCATGTCGCAGAGGAACCTTGCGCACAGCATTGCGGGAGGAGGGAGGAAACAAAATGATTTTCAACGCAGCTGGTGAAAGTGACCAGTGTTGCGTGGGGCTGCCACGCAACACTACACGCTACACTACACGCAACACTACACGCTACACTACACGCAACACTACCGAAATGCTGGCAGGGGCAGCATTTTGGAGTTTTGAGGTTTTTAAGGAATGAAATGAACATGCAAGTCAATTTTTCTGTTTTGGCCCGAAATGCTGCCCCTGCCAGCATTTCGGTAGTGTTGCGTGTAGTGTAGCGTGTAGTGTTGCGTGTAGTGTAGCGTGTAGTGTTGCGTGTAGTGTTGCGTGTAGTTTGCAGTGTAGCGTGCAGCCGCTGCCATCATTTTGCCTGGTGCTCAGCTGCGTGCAGGTGAAACTACCTTGACGCCTTTTGCGTGCAAAGGAGGATGGAATGCTACTGCCCGCCTTCCTCAATAAAGCCACCTTTTGCTGCCAACAATCGTTTGCACCGCCTGTGCATGTCCCCAATGCTCTTGGTGATGAAAGCCTTTGGGAGCCTCAAGGCTGTGCGTCGGAGGCGGGTCAAGTACTGTCCCCGGGCCTCCCTTTTCCCACGAGGCCACTTCTGCTCCTGCAGCCTCATGCGTCTGTTGATCTCCTTCCAGATCGCATAATCCAGGACATTCAAGTCAGGGCTGCGACGTGGAATCTCGAAGGTATGGATCTTGGCCGCAATCTTTCCCGCCACACCCTTAGATGACTTGAAGCCACTGGGGTCATTGTCCTCCAGGACAATGAACTTTGACTTGGTTGGGTATGCCTTTTTCAAGGCTTTTGCCAATGGCCCCGTGTACATGGCCTTGGCAGCTGCACCATTCCAGCGGGCACACTTGTGCCACATCATCATTTTGCCGTTGCCGACAGCTGCCAGAATGAGCTCATTTCGGGCCCCGGGGTTGGTGAGTAATGTTTTTTTCGGCTTCACATAGCCTTGGGCTAGGCCTTGGCCCGGGGCGCGATATGCTCCATAAGTCGCATGCTGTGCGGCCTTCTTGCGGCCATCGGCATTGAGGTAGACCTTGAAGGACTTCCCATCAATGATTGCATGCAGCTGCTTGTTCCACCATCCAGGAGTCTTGCCATGGTATTTGCGTGCGAAAGCAAGCCGGTCCTTCACATCTTCTGGTGTCAAGACCGGCTTCTCTCGCAGCTTGCGGAAATACACTTTCTGCTGGTGCAGTGCATCCCGGATGACACGCTCGCCCACTTTCAACTTGGCAGCTTTCTTCAACATGGCAGCAGTAACTGTGTATTTACAGTCCGCCTTTCGAACCATCTTGTCCAGCAAGCGTTTCAAGTAGGTCACCTGGGCTTGCGAAAGGGACGGAGGTCTGCCTTGCTTCTTCTGGGGCACCTGCTTGACCAGCAACCGGGTCAGCACTGACTTGTCACGCCCCAAGCGTTCAGCAATGGCTGAAGGCGGTAGACCGTCTTCAGTGTACCAAGCATTGGCCAGCCTCACTTCCTCCTCTGTCATCTTTTTCCAGCCGGCAGCAGGCATGACGGAAACAAGAGTGAAGCGCACTGAGGGAACTATGGGCAGAACGGACGATGGATTTGATCCTTTGGTGGCGAGAAGAAATTTGCAAGACCAAAGATTGGATCCTATGGAAGTAGCTGGTGGTGAGAAGAAATCTGTAAGACCATGACCAAATATGCAAGAAGTCCTTTTCTTTCTTCGGATTGGATCCTTTGAAAGTAGCTGGTGGCGAGAAGATTTTTTTAAGACCAAATATGCAAGAATTCCTTTTCTTTCTTCGTACTAAAATTACATGTGCCTAGTTGAAGAAGTGCAAAGAGGTAGCCGGCAGAAGCTGCAGGATCTTTTGACCATTTGCGTTAGCTTGTCAGATCATTAGTCTTTGAATTAAAGTTCAGGGGGCCTGGTGCATTTAGGTTTGACCATATTGCAGCACAAGCTGGCCGAAGCAGCGCTGGCATTCCGGAATACGGTTGCCGGACTGACGCACTGGCAAGGGACGATGAAAGCTGTGCACTTTCAATCGTCGGAGCAACATTGTGTGCTCAGATGGATGCCCTCGAAGGAATGCGATGTGGGCTTTCTCCTGCAAAGGTCCCAGATCCTTCTCTTTGCAGGTGACAAAAATGGGGGCTGACCCTTGGTACAAGATGTGTCCGGTGTAGTTCGCACTGTTCTGTGGCCGGCTCAATGGGAATGGCTTTCCTTCATACCACAGCAACTGGGTCGGAAGTGGCAGGAGCTCAGCATCAAAGGACCAATCGTCCAGAAGGACGACCTTCTTCCTCTCCAAACCCAGAAAAGGAAAGTTCCCGGGCTGTGGGGTAGCTTGCACATGCTCAACCCCGTAGACGGAGCGCAGGGGGCTCAGCCAGAAGGACTTGCCTTCGCCGCCAAAGCGGCCCATGAGGACTGAGACTGGCACATCCTCACGGCGCCCATTGGCTAGCAGGCAATATATGTCCTGGCAGAATGCAGCAGGATCAATGCCATTGAGCATCAAGGAATGCATGGCCATCTGCATCCATTGCCCATGGCACACACAAGCTGTCCCCGCAGCCGCCTTCAAGGTATCCAATCGGCTTCGGGCATGCAAGGCAAGGAAGTCATCGACAGTCTCCCAAGACCAAACATCATCAATGAGGCTAGAGAGCTTGACTCTGTTCTTGAAAGCAAAAGCCTGAAGAGCTGGAGAACCATGAGCTTTCAAGTAGGACACCAGCTTCTCTGCTGCATTGCAATCATCTGGCCCATCCATTGCGGAAACCGTGGCGAACGATGATGGGATACAGGTCAAGCTCCGTGGCGCGAGGTTCGGCCTTGCCACTACTGCGGGCCTGTTTCACCTTGGCTTCCCTGGACCTGGCCAATGCAGCAGCTGTCAAAGGCTCTTGCGACAATGCAAACAAGTCCATGGGCTCTCCGGAGACATGCCAGAAAAATGGCTCAGGATCCAAAACTTCCTGAGGCTTGTCTGGGGAAGGGATGTAGCCATACCGAATTGCTGACCAGAGGCCAGTATGGGTGCTGCTCCAATGAGACGCCACGCCATGGTTCACAGCCAGGGACCTTTTGAAAGGAGCAAACCGGAAGCATGAAGAGGCTTTCAAAGCAATGTGCCAATGGAAGGGCCCCACTGCCTCTCCGGCTCTGGGCGCATGGCGTTCACGAAAGACGACCATGCATTCCAGCTCCGTTGCTTTCCTGCCCCACCCAGCATTGTTCCTGGTATGCGCTGGTCTGCGGAAGGCATCCACCAGCACAGCTGCCACGTCTTGGTGCTTCCACGTGGAAGGGCAAACCAATGACCTGGAGTCCCCTGACTGCCGCTGCAACGCGGGCAAAGTCACCAGGTAGACTCTTTTCACGCTGGTGGCAACTTCTTCTGGCAAGCTGTGCTCATCTTGAGCAACTGGGAGAGGGGGGGAAGCGGAAGTGCTGGATCAGATCCATCAGGCACAAACTCGAAGCCCAACCATGTCTTCCGCCGCACGCGACGGTCTGGAACGCACAGCTCAAAGGGCATGGCTGCAAAAAGGACAGATGTGGAACTACGAGCCAGCAGCTCGGCATTCCAAGACCATACGCTTGTAGGAACTTGTAGGAACTCCCCTGGAGAAGCCCCGGCCACACCGGCACCACGACACTGCACCGGCGCGCCTCAGCGACCCCATGTCGTAGAGGACCCTTGCGCATAGCCCAAGAAGGCCGCAAAAGCCTGGGCAGGAGCGGGGCTGCACAATGCTGTCAGTATCTAATTTAGAATGAGGGAAGTAAGGAAGGAAGTATCAAGATGTTTCTTTACCCTCCTGAACCAGTAGGACACTCCGAGTGTGCGAAACATGCCTGACGCATTTTTTGCTAGAGAATGCCTGCACCATGATAGTTGGCTGTACATTTATAACCCCCCTGGAAATGCATCGGGCACCAGAACCCCACCATGCGCCAGGACGCCTCAACAAAGCCATGTCGCAGAGGAACCTTGCGCACAGCATTGCGGGAGGAGGGAGGAAACAAAATGATTTTCAAAGCAGCTGGTGAAAGTGACCAATGTTGCGTGGGGCTGCCACGCAACACTACACGCTACACTACACGCAACACTACACGCTACACTACACGCAACACTACCGAAATGCTGGCAGGGGCAGCATTTTGGAGTTTTGAGGTTTTTAAGGAATGAAATGAACATACAAGTAAATTTTTCTGTTTTGGCCCGAAATGCTGCCCCTGCCAGCATTTCGGTAGTGTAGCGTGTAGTGTTGCGTGTAGTGTAGCGTGTAGTGTTGCGTGTAGTGTTGCGTGTAGTTTGCAGTGTAGCGTGCAGCCGCTGCCATCATTTTGCCTGGTGCTCAGCTGCGTGCAGGTGAAACTACCTTGACGCCTTTTGCGTGCAAAGGAGGATGGAATGCTACTGCCCGCCTTCCTCAATAAAGCCACCTTTTGCTGCCAACAATCGTTTGCACCGCCTGTGCATGTCCCAAATGCTCTTGGTGATGAAAGCCTTTGGGAGCCTCAAGGCTGTGCGTCGGAGGCGGGTCAAGTACTGTCCCCGGGCCTCCCGTTTCCCACGAGGCCACTTCTGCTCCTGCAGCCTCATGCGTCTGTTGATCTCCTTCCAGATCGCATAATCCAGGACATTCAAGTCAGGGCTGCGACGTGGAATCTCGAAGGTATGGATCTTGGCCGCAATCTTTCCCGCCACACCCTTAGATGACTTGAAGCCACTGGGGTCATTGTCCTCCAGGACAATGAACTTTGACTTGGTTGGGTGCCTTTTTCAAGGCTTTTGCCAATGGCCCCGTTTACATGGCCTTGGCAGCTGCACCATTCCAGCGGGCACACTTGTGCCACATCATCATTTTGCCGTTGCCGACAGCTGCCAGAATGAGCTCATTTCGGGCCCCGGGGTTGGTGAGTAATGTTTTTTTCGGCTTCACATAGCCTTGGGCTAGGCCTTGGCCCGGGGCGCGATATGCTCCATAAGTCGCATGCTGTGCGGCCTTCTTGCGGCCATCGAAGGACTTCCCATCAATGATTGCATGCAGCTGCTTGTTCCACCATCCAGGAGTCTTGCCATGGTATTTGCGTGCGAAAGCAAGCCGGTCCTTCACATCTTCTGGTGTCAAGACCGGCTTCTCTCGCAGCTTGCGGAAATACACTTTCTGCTGGTGCAGTGCATCCCGGATGACACGCTCGCCCACTTTCAACTTGGCAGCTTTCTTCAACATGGCAGCAGTAACTGTGTATTTACAGTCCGCCTTTCGAACCATCTTGTCCAGCAAGCGTTTCAAGTAGGTCACCTGGGCTTGCGAAAGGGACGGAGGTCTGCCTTGCTTCTTCTGGGGCACCTGCTTGACCAGCAACCGGGTCAGCACTGACTTGTCACGCCCCAAGCGTTCAGCAATGGCTGAAGGCGGTAGACCGTCTTCAGTGTACCAAGCATTGGCCAGCCTCACTTCCTCCTCTGTCATCTTTTTCCAGCCGGCAGCAGGCATGACGGAAACAAGGGTGAAGCGCACTGAGGGAACTATGGGCAGAACGGACGATGGATTTTATCCTTTGGTGGCGAGAAGAAATTTGCAAGACCAAAGATTGGATCCTATGGAAGTAGCTGGTGGTGAGAAGAAATCTGTAAGACCATGACCAAATATGCAAGAAGTCCTTTTCTTTCTTCGGATTGGATCCTTTGAAAGTAGCTGTGGTGGCGAGAAGATTTTTTTAAGACCAAATATGCAAGAATTCCTTTTCTTTCTTCGGTGGGTGGAAGAAATCCTGCACCACCTCTATACCATCACATTTGCGAATGCATAACTTGTACCCCCGTACCCCCAAGTTCAATGTTGAATGACATGTTGACAGGTGGTGCAGGATTTCCGTCAATCGCACGAATCCATTTTGATCACTCCGTCTTCAAACAATATTAAATTAGGAGCGCGAGGTTTTAACTGTGGGTCTTTGAAAGTGGTGCAGGATTTCTTCCATCAACAGTATCTTAGAACTTTTTTTTCGCTTGTTGGTCTACGTGTGGGTGTCGCCGCTCCCTCTCTGGAGTTTTGTGCTCTTCTGGTTGTTGTTTTTGTTTTGTTTTTTGTTGTGGCTCTGTTGCTCTTGTTTTTGTTCTTGTCTCCTGTGTCGCTGGTGTCTTCTTTCTGTCGGTGGTTTTGCCTGCGGCCTTTTTTGTTGTTTTGTTCTTGCCCGCTTCGACGGTTCTGTGCCTTCCTCTTCTTTACTTGTTTGGCTTCGCTTTCGACTTCCCCCTTTTTAATTTGCAGCGGCTCAACATGTAACCTGCCAACCAAGGTAAGTGATGCCTTGTGCTCATACGCCCTCTTTGACGGTACACCAACTAAGGCGACTAAGGCCAGAGTAGCCATCTCCACCGATTCATCTGCCCTCCTTTCACAGAACCACGTTGGAGGGTTGTCACATTTTAATTAATTTGTTTATTTGTAGGGCTGTCCTGCTGTCTGGTCTTTGGGTTTCGTCGGTCTTGCTTGAGGGGTTTGAAAGTAGCCGGCCGGAACCATGGACCAGGCTGCACTGCAGCGAATAACGCTGGTGCTCTCCAGTTTTGCTCCCTGCTGGACAGCCTGGGGCGCCCGCGCGCAGCAAAGTCTGCTACCATGGTTCGTTCGCTTTGCCCTTGCTCAGAGGCTACCCAATTTGCCCACTCTCTGGGTGAGTGGAGCGAAGTCTAGACTATGCTGCTGAACCATATCTTTCCAATCTGCTGTAACGCACTGCAGGTCTTGCAGAGACGATTTTTTTTGTGGCCGGCGCCATTGTCTTTCGACTGGTCACCACACTTGAGGCTTACCTGCGGACCAGCGGGGAATCGAACCACCACCGGTAGTCTGTCCGCGTCGTCAAGAACGACGCCCTACCAACTACTCCACAGGGACGCTTCAGGTCTTGCAGAGACGATGACGCTCTGGAAGCACCTGAACAGTTCTGCAGCTGCTCTCATTTCAGTTTCGATTTTTTCCTTTTTTCCGTCCAACGCCTTCATGGCTTCCGCCAGGTCGTTCAACATGTTTTATTGCATGTTGCAAATTGGGATTAATTGATTAATTATGTCATGCGTAGGCCGTCTGCGGTAGAGTGGCCTCAAAAGTGAACTGGTGAAGGACCGATACATAGTCCTGTTTACTGTCACAAGTCATCACCAAAAAGCAAACCGAAACAACACAAACCAAGACACCAAAAACCAACAAAACACAAAAACACAAAAACACACAAACCCAAAACAAACAAACCAAACAAAAAACACCCCACACAACAAAAACAGTGACGTGACAGGTACCAGTTCATGGGTGAAACGGATAATTTGCAAGAGGGATAACCAAGTATCATCTCAGTTCATGCATGATGACTTTTTTTTTCCTCGAGTTTGGCCGATGTCGCGCTAATGGCTCGGTCCTTACATGAGAGTAAGCAGCAAAAACTCTGTACAAGGACGCACAGTCCTTGAAATCAGCAAATCGATTGAACCAAAACAAAGAAACAACAACAACCACCACACAAAAAGCGACGACCCGCAAATCCCCCAGCCAGACTTGCGTTTCGCCAGCGGAAAAAGCGAAACAAAAAGCACAAAAACACCAAGGCACAAAAACGGGGCCAGAGCCCAAACAAAAACACCCACAGAATCGATTTGCACCAGGAAGCAGTGGAAAGTCCACTGCATCCCTATCAAAAACATGCAAACAAACGAATTATGTGTCGCAGCTGCTCAGGCAGACATAAAGACTCAGCTCGGAGGTTAACCCTAGCATGAGCATAGCTGTACACGAAAGCAGACTACCACGAAATCTCTCTCAGAGTCCTATCAGGTCAGCTCGTAGTGGGCCTTCATGAACGTAATAGTCATCCTCTTGACTGTCAACTGCGATCACAAATCCAATGGTCCAAGAAATCAGAACCCCCCTGGAAGGGGGGGCCAGCAATGACAATGAGGAAGCAAAAAGGCCAGGGAGCGGCTTCCAAACATGCCATTACCGACAAGAAATCAAACGGGGGTAGTTTCATAGGGGAGATGCAGCCATCCGTTGTGTGGGCACAGTCAGCGGCTTACTTGCCAGTATCCGCAAAGCTGAACAACATGCAGAGAAAGCTTGAGTGCAAAAACTGTCATTGCATTTGCCACAGTACCAGTGCTGGAGCGTCAAAGAAAGCAGGTTCGCAGGAAATACCAACTGCAGAACTGTTCAGGACATGTCAGGACGTCATCGTTCCTGAAGGACCCGCAGTGCGTTGCAGTACGTACCAAAAAACATTGTAGTATTGTAGCAAAACCACGGCTAAATTGCCACTCACCCAGAGAGTAGACAAGCTGCAGAGTTACCACGTCTCGTTGTCCAATGACGAACCATGTTGGCAGTCTTGTGCTGCTCGCGGGCGCCCCAGGCAGTCCTACAGGGAGAAACACCGGAAAGCACCGGTGAAGCTCGCTGCAGCACAGGCTGGTCCATGGCATCGGCCGGCTACCTACCGCCCCCTTTCAGTCGAATTCAGCACCCGACATAGAGTACCCAGCCAGAGGACAACCCAGGGGAACCAAAACAACCAACCAAATTAAAGCAAAAACGCTATCAGCCCCTTAAAAGAGCAAAATTTCAGCCAGCACGCAAGGCCGAGGAAGGACGGCCTTTACACGCAGAGGCAAAACGCCTGTCCTAAGTCACCTTAGTGGGTCGTAAGAGTGCAGTGTCAGTGACTCTCATTTAGTGTAAGAACCAACAAAAAACACACACCAGAAAACAAGCGTACCTACAATCAACCGATTCTCCATTCATTGTGCCTGAATAGGGCCCCAATGCACCTGCCACGTCTATGGACAGATGCACCAGTGGCCAAGAGAAAGAGCGAGGGAGAGTAGCAACGCAGAGGGCAAAGAAAGGAGCAGAGGAAGCACACACGGCCCAACAACCACACAGACAGAGAAGAGGAGGAAGCGGGAAGACCACCAAAGGAACAACAGGACACAAGGACCGAGCGGCAACCAAAGGAGGGGGCGCCGGGAAGGCAGAGGAAGACAGGGCGGAGAAGGCTACACACATCACATTAGAATAGCAACAGTGCAGCTTAGCGGAGTCTAAGATGTGTCTGGATCATCATCACGGTGAATGCCTCAGTATGGCCGAACTAAGCTCCCCGACGCCACCAGTAACATGGTGTAGAGGGTGAATACCCCACACAGGGCAATAAGCCTTTGTTGCCATGAACCGAATGACGAAGGGAAAGCAAAGCAAAACCACACTCCCAGCAAGAAAGCAGGGCAACAGAGCCGTCACAGCTGCAACCAGATACTCCGAGGGAGACACCAGCACACAGGAGTGTGAGCTGGACCAGAGCACAAAAAAGACTACACGCGGGGCAGGGGAGGAAGAAAAGCAGAGGCAGGAAGCACAGCAAGGGAGGGCAGGCAACACGGGAAACACCGAGGCCCACACAAGCACAGCGAGGAGCACAAACCAACAGAGACAACGAGCCCGCGGCGCCAAAGAAAGCACTAAGACACAAGCACCACCGGGCAACACAAGCCAACAGCCACAGGACAGACAAGGAGAAAGAGAACAGCACAGACACAGCAGAAGA